ACCAGGCCCACCAGCCCACCCAAGGACTCCAGTAGTAAGCTCATCTGTGGACCATACCAGATTGTCTGCCCAGAATCTCTGGATGGGCTGACTGGTAAAGGGCTTTCCTAGACAAACCCAGCCTGCAAAGACAGGAATAAGTGTCAATTTCTTCAAATGTGCAGACACCAATGCATGGCCACAAAGATCAAGTACAATCAGGAAAATACGACCCTACCAAAGAAACAAAATAAAGCACCAGTCTAACATTAAAAAAATGGAGATTTATGATTTGCCTGACAAGTAATTCAAAATATAGTTGACTGTCTATATCTATGGGTTCTGCATCCATGGATTTGACCAGGTATAGATCAAACATATTCAGTAAAAAAAAAAAAATTGCATCTGTACCGAACATGTAGAGACTTTTTTTCTTGTTATTATTCCCTGAACACTACAGTATAACGACTACTTACATAGTGTTTACATTGCCATTAGGTATTATGAGTAACCTACAGATGATATAAAGTATATGGGATGATGTGTATAGGTTACATGCAAATATGCCATTTTACATCAGAAATTTGAGCATCTGCATATTTTGGTATTCATGGGAGGTTCTGAAACCAATCTCCCATGGATAATGAGAAATGACTAGCTGTTTTGAGGAAGCTCGGTGAACTTCTATAAAACACAGAAAAACAATTCAATGAAATAAGGAAAACAATAAGAAATTTAACACAGAGATTGAAATTATACACATATGAATGTATACTATATGTATGTATGTATGTCTATAACATCAAACAAATTTTGGAGCTGGAAATTACAATGAGTTAATTGAAAAATGCAATAGAGAGCATCAACAGCAGAACTGATCAAGCGGAAGAAAGAATCTGTGAACTCTAGGATAGTTACAGCTTACTGGATTTATGGGACAACACCAAAAGAACAAACTGAGTTATAGGAATTAAAGGAGAAGAGAGAGACAAAGGGGTAAAAAGCTTATTTAAAGAAATAACAGCAGAAAATTCCAAATTTGAAGAAAGATATAAATATACGGGTACAGAAAGTTCAAAGGTTTACAATAAGATTCAATCCAAACAAGACTACTTCAAGACATATTACTATAGTGCTCCCTCATCTATGATTTTGTCTTCCATGGTCTCAGTTACCTGCATTGAGCCTCAATTAGAAATTATTAAACGAAAAATTCCAGAAATAAACACTTCATAAATTTTAAGTTGCACACTTTTTTGAGTATCATGATGAAATCTTGTGTTCTGTCTCAAACAGGACATGAATCATCTGTTTGTCCAGCGTATCCATGCTGTATATACTACCCACCTGTTTATTACTTAGAAATTGTCTTGATTATCAGATCAACTTTTACAGTATCGCAGTGCTTGTGTTCAAGCAACCTTCATTTTACTTAATAATGGCCTCAAAGTGCAAGAGGACCATGCCTAATTTATAAATTAAATTTTATCATAGGTATATATGTATAGGAAAAAACAGTATATATAGGTGTTCATAAATACCAGACCTATCTTACAAAAAATGCTAAAAGAAGTTCTTCAGGCAGGAAGAATATGAGGCTAATTAGTAAAAAGAAAACATATAAAAGTATAAAACTCACTGGAAAAGTAAGTACACAGTCAAATTCAGGATACTCTAATATTATAATACTGTTGTCTAAATTACATCTTTAGTATAAAGATTAAAAGATAAAACTATTAAAATAATAATGGCTATAATAACTTCTTAAGTGATGCATAATAGAAAAAGATGTTAAGTTGTGATATTAAAAACATAAAATGAACCAGGTATGGTGGCTCACGCCTATAATCCCAGTACTTTGGAAGGTGGAGAGGAGAGAATTGCCTGAGCCCAGGGGTCTGAGACCAGCCTGGAAAACTTGGCAAGACCTCATCTCTACAATAAATAAAAAAATTAGCCAGGTGTGGTGGCATGTACTTGTGGTTCCAGCTACTTGGAAGACTGAAGTTGAAGGATCACCTGAGTTCAGCAGGTCGAGGCTGCAGTGGCTGTGATTGTGCCACTGCATTCCAGCCTGGGCAACAGAGGGAGGTTCCGACTCAAACAAACTGAAACAAAAAAATACATACCAAAAAACCCCCATAAAATGTGGCGAAGAAGTGAAGTAAAATTGTAGAGGTTTTGTATGCAAAGTTAAGTTATCAGTTTAAAATAGCATGCTGTAATTGTAAAGTGTTTTATGTAAACTTCATGGTAATGGTAAAGCAAAAACCTACAGTAGATACACAAAAGATAAAAGAAACAACAGCATACCACTAAAGAAAATACCTAATCACAAAGGAAAACAACAAGAGTGGAAAAAGGAACAAAGGATCTACAAAACAAATAGAAAACAATGAACAAAGTGGCTGTAGTAAGTCCTTACCTATCAATCATTACCTTAATGCAACTGGGTTAAGTTGTCCATTTAAAAGACACAGAGTAGATGAACAGATCCAAAAAAATATAAGACCCAACTATAAGCTACCTACAAAAGATTCACTTTACAATATACATGGACTAAAGTGAAGGGATAGAAAAAAGATATTCTTAGCAAATGGACACTAAAAGAGAGCAGGAGAGCAGGGGTGGCTATACTTATATCAGATGAAATACACTTTAAGTCAAAAACTAGAAAATGAGACAAAGAAGGTCATTATATAATGATAAAAGTGGTAAATTCCCCAAGAGGCTATAACAATTGTAAATATATATATGCCACCAACATCAGAACACCTAAATATGTGCAGCAAATATTAATAGAGCTGAAAGGACAGACTGCAATCTAATAATAGTAAATGACTTCAATAAATCAGACATCCAGACAGGAAATCAATAAGGAACCATCAAACTTAAATGAACCTAACAGACATTTATAGAGGAATCCACTCAACAGCAACAGAATACACATTCTTCTTAAATACGTATGGAACATTCTCCAGGATAGATGATATTTCAGACCAGAAAACAAGCCTTAACAAATTTAAGAAGATTGAAATTATATCAAGTATCTTTTCTAACCACAACAGTATGAAACTAGAAATTAGTAACAGAAGAAATTTTGGAAAATTTACAAGTACATGGAAATTAAACATGCTCCTAGGCAACCAATGGTCAAATACATTAAAAAGGAAATTTAAAAATACTTCAACACATACAAAAGTGAACACACAACATACAAAAACTTATGGAACGCAGCAAAAGCAGTTCTAAGAAGAAAATAGCAATAAACGCCTACATTAAAAAAGAAGGAATCTCAAACAACGTAATGTTGTATCTCAAGAAACTAGAAAAAGATGAACACTAAGCCCAAAGTTAGCACAAGGAAGGAAATTAAGATCAGAGTAGAAGTAAATGAAATAGACTAGAAAAGATCAACAAAACTAAGTTGTTTTTTTAGGAAAAAAAACAAAAACAAAAACAAAATTGGCAAATGTTTAGCTACACCAAGAAAAAAGAGAACACTCAAAATCAGAAATGAAAAAGGAGACATTACAAGTGAGATCACAGAAATACAAAACATCATAGGACACTACAATGAACATGATATGCCCATAAGTTGGGTAATGTAGAAGAAATGAATAAATTTCTAGATGCATACAACATACCAAGACTGAATCATGAAGAAACAGAAAATCTGAACAGACCAATAATGAATAAGAAGATTGAAAGAATAATAAACATTTCCCATCAAAGAAAACCCCAGGACCTGAGAGCTTTACTGCTGAATTCCACTAAATATTTAAATAATTAATACCAAACCTTTTCAAATTCTTCCAAAAAAGTAAAGAAGAGACAATACTTTCAAAACTCATCTTATAAGGCCAGTGTTAATATCCTAATATCAAAGCCAGAAAAGGCCACAGTAAGAAAAGAAAGCTACAGGCTAGTATCCCTGATGAACACAGATGTAAGATCCTCAACAAAATACCAACAAACTGAATTCAACAGCACATTAAAAAGATCATTCTCCATGAGAAGTGGGTTGCAAGTCTACTAAAGTGCCATACTACATTAACAGATTAAATACAAAAATCATAGGATCCTCTCAATAGAGGCAAAAACATTTTGACAAAATGTAATATCCTTTCACGATTAAAAAAAATCTGCTTTGAAGTCCTAGCACTTTCATCATTAGATCTATGATTTGTTATAATGTATCTCTGATACATACAGTGGAACAAATACTTGTCCTATTTCATGGTATTGCTCATCTCATACAAAATGTGGATGATAAATTAAAAAAATTAATTGCAAGGAGATGTATTTGGACTGAATGTCTGTGTTCCCCAAAATTCATATGTTAAAGCCCCAGTCCCCCAGTGTGGCTGTATTTGGAGACAGGATCTCTAAGGAAGTAACTAAGGTTAAGTGAGGTCATAAGAATGTTGATCCTGATCTGATAAAACTAGTCTCTTTATGAGAGACTTCACAGAGCTCATTTTCTCTCTCTCGTCCCAGGCATGAACCAAGGAAAGGTCATGTGAGGACAACCGAGAAGGTGGCCATCTGCAAGACAGGAAGAGAGCCCTCATCAAAAACTGAAGTGGGTGAACCTTGATCTCAGACTTCAAGCCTACAGACCGGTGAGAAAGTAAATTTTGTTGTTTAAACCATTCAGTCTATGATATTATATAGTGGCAGCCCAAGCTGATAAAGACAGCCCCTAAAACAATTTCAATGATGAAAATGAGCAGATAAATTTCACAATACTAAAAAGCTATGATCTGTTTTTACTTACTTATATACTTGGATCATTGCCCCTGCTACCAGTCTGTTCTTCTTGTCTGCCCCTCAACAGGGCAGAGAACATACTGATTCCTCAAAACTTTCAATGTACTTGCACAGTTCTGATGTTGTTGTAAAATGAGAGAATAAGGTCATTCAGGCTTCAAGATGATGTGGTCTGAGACTCATTTTGCTCTAAATAACCCCAAACTACAGCCATACACACACCAAAACTCAACTCCAAAGTCAACAAGTTTTCATTGAAAATAGATTTAATTTTATTCAAATTAGAAATGTTCTGTGTCTCTCTCCCAAACCACCTCCAAATAAAGGTCTCCTTCTGACAAACAAAAGATTTTCTGGGGAAAAATTTTAAAGATAGTAAAGGAAAACTTCACATTTCTTTTTATGTCAATCAATCAGAAGGTCCATAACCAAAAATCTTCAACGTCTGACACATCCATGAGGCATTTGGATGATTCATTCTGAAGGAAAAGTGGGGAGGAGAGAGAATCACACCATTACTATGATTTGAAGTGTGAGAAGTTCTCATCTATCCATGTCAGTTAACACTGGTGTAATATGGAACGGAAAACGACCCTCAAGGGTCAGTTCATTGAGCAAAGGTTTCATTGAGCAGAGAATAAGAGAGGAATAATAAAAAGGGTAGAAGATACTTTTGAGAAGACCTGCTTTTGTTCAGTTGAAGATTAAAAGGTAGGAGTGAAAAATCAGTCTTGTGATCAGTAATTTGAAAAACAAGCTTGGTTTTCCCTCCCTTTCTGGCACTACTGACATTCCCATCACTCCAGCTTCTGAATTCTAGAAAAAGATAAGGAGATTAACAAAAATATAGACAATGTAGAAACTTCTGGTGTTGTGTCTGCATGAATGGCACCAATACCCTAGCGCCCACTTGCTCCCTTGGCAAGGCAGCACCCCTCTGTGAGGCAGCGAAGGAGGCTTTCCCACCAGGGTCTTGGCTAGCTGGTGGCGCGGCTTGCTCCCTGGGTGCAGCACCAAGTGCAGGTCTCCATAGAAATGGGAGCCTACTTGGCCATTTTGCGGATCATGTAGTTGAGGATGCCTCCGTTGTAGAAATAAGTGAGCTCCACGTCGGTGTCGAATCTCATGATGACCTGGAAGGTCTTCCCAGTATCCAACTGCGGCACAAAGAAATAGAGAAGATTGCTAAGGGAGAGAGTGAGACAGTTCTGCCAGGAGGAGATTCTGCCCAGCCTGCTCTCCAGCCTAGCCCTGGAGGTATGACAGTTGTCACACCAGCAGCTCCCAGGAGCACCAGCAGCACATGGAGACATGCCAGGGCTCTGGTTCAGCCCTGAGCCACTAAAGCAGAATCTGCATTTCAGTAAGATCCCTGGGAGACTGATCTGCATGTTAAAGTTTGAGAAGCACTGCAGACTATAAATTATGAAGGGGAGAGGCACCTGAGAACTAAAAATAGCTTTTCAGAACAGCAACTAGTAGTGACATTGGGATGATATTTCTTTTTTTTGAGTTGGAGTCTTACTCTATCACTCAAGCTGGAGGGCAGTGGCATGCTGCTCACGGCCACTGCAGCTTTGACCTGCTGGGCTCAGGCGATCCTTCCACCTCAGTCTTCCAGGTAGCTGGAATCATAGGCATGCGCTACCATGCCCGGCTTATTTTTTGACTTATTGTAGAAACAAGGTCTCGCCATATTGCTCAGGTTGGTCTCAAACCCCTGAGAATCTTCTTGCCTCCGCCTCCCAAAGTGTTGGGATTATAGGCTTGCGCAACCGTGCCCAGCCGAGATGATATTTTCTAAACCTTTTCTGGGGGCTCCCTGTGGACAGAAGTATCTTGGGTTAGCAGACGTTTCATTAAGGTTGTCTCTTAGGCAGCTGACCCAGTTGCTCACTCTGAGACACAGACCTCAGCAGTAGCCTCTGCCTGGGGGGCTGGATCGCCCCTTGGACAAATAGAAGCCTGGGGCTCTATGCTTAGGGAAAGGATGAGTGTTCGTTGCTCACATTTTTTTTTTTTTGAGTTAGAGTCTCACTCTGTCACCCAGGCTGGAGTGCAGTGGCACACTCACGGCCACTGTAGCCTCAATCTGCTGGACTCAGACGATCCTTCTGCCTCAGCCTTCCAAGTAGCTGGAACTACAGGTACCTGCCACCATGCCCAGCTAATTTTTTTTTTTAATTTATTAACTTGGTGAGATGAGACAACGTCTCACCAAGTTGCCTGGGTTGGTCTTGAACCTGTGGGCTCAGGCAATCCTCTCACCTCGGCCTCCCAAAGTGCTGGGATTAGAGGCGTGAGCCACCGCGACTGGCCAACATTTTGATAATAAAAGTGTTTAGTAGGCAATGTGAAAATGTCACATTCCTGAACATTCATCATAATCCTCTGGGCAGGAAGCACTAGGAGGAACAGGAGAAAGTGGGGGCAGTTGGGGTTGGGAGTAAGAATGAAAGTGAGGATAACTCTATGAATGAACAGAGAAATAAGTAACAAATCAACAGGTATCATCTGTGCTGTGGATGCAGGGTGAAAAGGGGCTAGGACTCCCAAATGTAATCCTACCAAGTGACGGTTTTTTTTTTCTTCCAAATCTCAGTAATTTCCTTCTAACAAGACAGAATACAAGCAAAGGGACCTTTTTGGTGGGGCCTGACATGGAGACACTCTGGCTTACCTTGACCTGGACTTTCATTCGGGGTTTAAGGTTTTCTGGAATGATGACAGTGTATCGTTCCCGCCCTGTGAGCCCCAGGGTGTCTGCATTCTCACCAGGAAGATATTCAAGGGGGATCACCCCCATTCCGACCAGGTTACTGCGGTGAATGCGCTCATAACTCTCGGCCAGGATAGCTTTGATTCCCTGATGAAAACAGAGAGAAGTTTAGACACAGTTCCAATCTTTCCTTTGGATGCATACAAACTTTACAAAAAGCTTTGCATATCAGAACTGTTTTCATACCTAACTTCTCTGTAAGTATGTTAGTCTTCTACATAAAATACGTACTTTCTAGTTATAAATAATAGCTGGTGTTATCTGATTGTCTGCAACGTAGGGGCACTAAAATGATTCCTCTCAGCTTACCCTCCACCAGCCCTGGAACGTAGATGCTATTACTGTTCCCCTCCACACAAGGGGTTAGTAGTGACATCTGGTATATGAACCCCTGTAGGCTGACCATGTGATACAATATCTCTTAGCAAACCTCCACTGTATCTGGAATCCACAACACAGAACAGCATAAAGAAGATGAGTTTCTTTCCCTTGAATTTTTCTATTATTGTAGGTGTATCAGCAGGCCCAGAACATACTAGAGATGAAGTAAATGATTACCTAATGTGAACTGCTTTTATACTTCCTGTTTCAAGGATCATACTGTATTGAATATAGTCTTGACAGTAATCCTCTATAAAGTATTGATAAACACCAATAATCAATAAAGCAGGGAGTTTAAGTAACTAGAATTCTCCATGTATTAATCATTAATGTTAATTATAATATTAAGATACCTAAAAGGTCTCCTGATATCTAGGGCACACTTTTAAGATGCCCTGCACCAGGGTCATTTGGGGTACTTGTTAAAAATGTGTATTCTTGGGTACAACCCCAGATCTATGCATCTAAATCTCTTGCAGGGAGCATGGGGTGGGAGAAGGCTAGGGTGATCCTTTGTAAGTTTTGAGAACTATGGCTATAGAGCGGTGGCACTCAGACTCTGCTGCATGTTAAAATCACCAGGGGAGATTTAAAAAATTCTGATATTCAGGCCTTTCTCCTTACCAACATACCAGGATCTCTGAGGATGAGATCTGAGCATAGGTATATTAAAAAGAAAAAAAACCCAGCTGGGTGCAGTGGCTCACGTCAGTAATCCTAGCACTTTGGGAGGCCAAGGCAGGAGGATCGCTTGAGCCTAGGAGTTTCAAACCAGCCTGGACAACACAGTGAGACTTCATCTCTACAAAAAAACAAATTAGCTGGGTGTGGTGGTGGCACATGCCTGTAGTCCCAGCTTCTCAGGAGGCTGAGGTGGAAGGATCATTTGAGCCCAGGAGGTTGAGACTGTAGTGAACTGTGGTCACACTACTGTACTCCAGCCAGGGTGACAGATTGAAGCAAACCCAACTCAAAAATAAAACAAAACAAAACAACAAACACACACAGAAACAAAATCCCATAGGTGTTTCCAGATCTGAGAACCACTGCTAAGGAGGAAGGCAGATTCTTTGGGACAACAGATATGTATGCATACATTTTGGGGAAGTGGAACGTTTTCTAAACATATACTATTTATGTCCCTAGGCTGTGCTGCAGAAGCTGCAAATCACAGCTGTCTATTCCTCTCTGCCATATGTATAGTCCAGACTACTGACTACTGGCCAGACTATTGGCCCAGCCTAGGCAGCTACAGGATGGAAGGGTGTATGGCTTTCTGGGCAGCCAGAGCTCAGCGGTTCTGTAGAGAAGTCTGGACTCCAGAGAGTCACTTCAGAGTCAGTTCTCTTTCTCTATATCAGACCTTCGAGTTCCCCACAAGAGTGTTCATTGCCCAGCTCTCATTTCTATTACTAGCCCTCAAACCTCTTTCTAAAATCCTGTCCTGTATTTCTCCAATTCTCTATAGCAGTTTCTAGAAAAGGCAGGTCTTTGACCTATTACCAATTAATCAAAGAACGTTTTTTCCCCCAGAGAAAAACAACCAATTAAAACAGTAAGGTTGATGTTCAAAGGCATCTTCAGAAGCCTGGATGTCTGGAAGACTGCCTGCCTGACGATCACATTTTTTTACCGTATTTGTGGATAGCAGCTGAGCATTTCCCAAATTCATTAATTGCTCTTGCCATAAATGACTTCAAATGGCATTGGCTAAGCTGTTTTTGCTATTCCCTGAGGATTAAAGCTGGGCAGAGCAAGATTCTTCTCTGCTTTTAGCATAAGCAAATGCTCAAGAGGTAAACAGTTCTCTGCTCTCTGCATGGTCCCTTCTATGGAACACCTTAAGAGGTGGAGCACCGAGATGGCTGAAGTTTCCAAGGAGCTGTCTGGCTACGAGCAGTTAGCTTTCCTTTCTCACTGAGAGTATGTAAGCATATTTTCACAGGTGATGAAAAGCAATTGCAAAAAGCGGCTCTCCTAGTTTACCCAAGAGACTTGGAACCCATTTTCACCAAAGTAACTCCTGAAAAAGTTCAGGCTCCTTACTTTTTCCCTTCTGTGAACCTGACAGATGATAAAATAGCCCTGGCTTATTCCTCACATTCCCCTGGGACAATGGCCTTAAATAACTGTTGTCCTCAACGTCTGAGGATGTTATAAAACTATGAAACTTTTCCCTATAAAAAATGACATGTGATGGCTTAAACCTTTAATTCCAGCACTTTGGGAGGCCGAGGTGATAGGACTGCCTGAGCCCAGGGGTTCAAGACCAGCCTGGGCAACTTGGCGAGACCTCATCTCTTCAGTAAATCTAAAAATTAGCTGGGCGTGGTAGCACACGCCTATAGTTCCAGCTACTTGGACAGCTGAGGCGGAAGGATCACCTGAGTCCAGCAGGTCGAGGATGCAGTGACTGTGAGCATGCAACTGCACTCCAGCCCGGGTAACAGAGTAAGACTCTGATTAAGAAAAAAAATGACATACATGTACACTTCTGAATATATTTTCAGAGACTATAGACCCTCCTTCCAAACTGTTCTAACGAGGTCCAATGGCTGCCAAGGTATGAATGAACAAAAGATCCAATTCAACTGTAGATTACTCTTCACTGAGTGAAATAAAGGCAGGTCCACTAAAAAGGAGGAAATGAATAAACACTACATGCTTTTCTAAGCTTGTTTTTCCATGGAAAGCAAAGCAACAGAACTGATCCTTGGGCACCCTCCCAGTTTCCCTTCAAGTTCAGAGGGCAGCTGCCTGCTGGGGTGTCTACCCCATACTCACCAGTAGGAAAGGGCCCTTTGCTGCCCAGTCTCTGGAGCTACCTGAACCATATTCTTTGCCAGTCAGAACAATCAGGGGAAGGCCTGCCTGCTGATACCGCTCAGCAACATCAAACACATCAAGCTGAGGAAGAGAAAAGATAGGTTTTACAGATGCAGCAGAGGAAAAGAGGGGGACACAGGCTCTGTGTGTCTTGGTGAGGCCAGGGTCGGAAGGGCCTGCGGATGGCAAAGTCAGCTCGAGGCCTACTGGCATATAAATTCCCAATTACTTTAATCATTTTACTTCTACCACATCGAATTTTTCACTCTTTGGATCAAAATGCCTGTTGTTGGTTTTATAAAAACATTCAAGTCCTTGAACATTAGGGGACCAAAAGAAAAACCCCCAAAAAACAAAAAAACAAAAACAAAACAAAACTAGGTCAGATTTTTTTCTCTGATTAACTAAACTATTTTAAAACTTAAGAGCCAGAATCCCATCTAAACCTGGGTTTTTGACTCAGTATCCACAATAATGTAACTTGGAGTGAATCTTTTAAAATTATTTGGGCAGGCCGGGCTCAGTGGCTCAGCCTGTAATCCTGCGCTTTGGGAGGCCAAGGTGAGTGAATTGCCTGAGCTCGCGGGTTTGAGACCCACCTGGGCAACTTGGCGAGACCTCATCTCTACAATAAATCAAAAATTAGCGGTGCATGGTAGCGCGCGCCTGTAGTTCCAGCTACTTGGAAGGCTGAGGTGGAAGGATCTGCGGAGCCCAGCAGGTCGAGGCTGCGGTGGCCGGGAGCGTGCCACTGCCCCCAAGCCTAGGTGACAGAGTGAGACTCCAACTCAAAAAAAAAATAAAAAAAATTATCTGGGCATTCAGTGAGCCTTCTCAATGTGAATTCTCAGATCATTCAGTTGAGGGAATTTTCCATGCACACATGTGTATGTGTTTTTAATAATTTCCTCTCTTCCATTTTGTCTGTTCCCTTTGTAGCACCTTTACTCAGGTAGTGGGCCTCCCGAGTTCAGTTCGTACATTTTCTTCCCCCTCATTTTTCTGTTATCTAGCCCACAAAAACTTCTCAACTAATCAACTTTCCTTTTGCATATTTTTTAAGTTAAAAAGTTATTTCTTGTCTTCTGATTGTTACTTTACAGCAACAGAAAATTAACTCTTATCTCTGAGGATGAGATTTTTTTCTTCTGCTTTTTATTATCTATTTTCTTTCTTTTTTCTCCTCTGTTCTTCATCTTAGGTCTGTCTTTCAAGTTTAAGTCTTGGCTCAAATGTCTTCCTTGACTCTGTGTCCTTACTTAAGATTTGGCACTATACATCTGAACAGAAGGTCTATGTCATGGCAGGGCTAGTGATAAGTGAGGTACACTGTGACAGTTTATTAGGGGCTCCCCAGTATCTGTAACTGTAAGTCCTTCTCCTTGGTCTCTTAGGTATGCCATCACTCATTATGTATCTTTTAAATTTAATAGTCATATTATCCCTGTTAGTCACTGAGGAGTCATCTACTGGGGCTAGGTCCTGGTGATCAATGATTACCTATGAAAGAAGAGTTAGCTTTACAAAAATAGAATCAGTTAAGAGGGAGGCAGTTCATGCAGTGGTAAAGAGTGTGGACTTTGGAGTCAGACTTTTTGGGTTTTAATCTCAACTTTTCCACTATGCAACTTTAGGGAGTAATTTGATCTCTTTATGCCTCAGGTTCTCAATTTAAAACACAGATAATTACAGTCCCTACCTCCAAGGGTGCTATGAGCATTAAAGAAATGAACATATGCAAAGAGCTTAGGGAAGAACCTGGAATGTAGTATGTGTCATAGAAATATTAGCTACTGTTATTCTAAAATAAATCAGCAGGGTTACTTCTCAAGCAGGTTAAACAGTTTTCAGGCAGTTTCATAGGATTCAATGGGAAGGGAAGTGACACTGAGGACCTATGACATACGCCAGGTACTATACTAGGATGTAATGTCATTCCATTTCATGTCAAGCCTCAGAGCCTTCTAGGGTAGGCATTCTTTCTACCTCACAGGTAGGAAAAATGAGGTTCAGAGAGGGGAGTAACTTGCTGAAGACTCCACAGCTTGCAAGGTGGAGCTGGGACTTACACCCAGTCTTGTCTGAGTCAGAGGCCACTTCCCATCTGTGAACAAACGATCCCAGCTGTAACACACCAACTCCAAGGGCTCCCACTAGAATGCAAGCAGGCTTCCAAGTGCCTCTGGACTCCTTCTCTTCATAGTGGATACAATGAATTAAATTCCATGCTAATAAATAGCACTTCTTGATAAATATCCTCTAATTTAACCCAGATTTTCTCCTTAAAATATACTTCTGATGACATTTCACTCAAAGCCTTTTTAAGCCCAATTCCCAAGAAAGGAGACTAAGCTAAACAATGGTACAGAATCTCTAACCAAGAAGAGGTTTTGATCTCTATCAATAAACTCCATGCATACACTTGGCAGGAGGTACTACAGAAAGTCACAGCTAGGATGGAACTGTGAAGAAAAACTAACGTCAAAAGGAAAGTAACTGCAAATGTCCAACCTTCCAGAGGCTGACAACTGCTGGTTTCTGAAGGAAGCAGAAGAGACAATACTCACAATTTCTCCAGAAGGCAGATGTATCGTCTGCGGTGCCTGCTTGTTAAGGAACTTATTTAACAAGCGAATGTTGGCAAACGTTCCCCGTGCCATGACGGCATCATTACCTCGGCGGGAGCCGTAGGAGTTGAATTCTCGTGGAGTCAGGCTAATAATGCAAGCAGGAAAGGAGCGACTTTAGTGAAGCAAATGAAGATTAAACTTAGTTTACACTGAGAAAAGAAGAATAAAAACACAGACATAAGCCTAGCTACTTCTCTGAATCTACTAAGCATGTTCTTAGTTACATGCTGTTCCCAAAGCTTCAATAGAGGGCAGGCAGAGTGAGAGATGAGAAGTGGGTGGTGAGAGGTGGAAATCTCCTGAGGTCAACTTAGGGTCTTTCAAGTTTGGGTAGAGAAATCAGGAGAAACTCTCAAAAAGAGTATTGTTTTTATTCAGTGGGGTAGCCTATAAAGCCTCATATAAGGTAAAAAGCTAAATTAAAAAATAAGTAAGGAAGCTGGATGTGGTGATTCAGCCTGTAATCCCAGCACTTTGGGAGGTCAAGGCGAGAGGAATGCCTGAGTCCAGGGGTTTGAGACCAGCCTGGGCAACTTGGTGAGACCTCATCTCTACAATAAATCATAAAAACTAGCCAGGCGTGGTGGCATGCATCTGTAGTTCCAGCTACTTGAAAGGCTGAGGCGGAAGGATTGCCTGAGCCCAGCCCAGCAGGTCAAGGCTGTAGTGGTCTTGAGTGTGCTATTGCACTCCAGCCTGAGTGACTGGGTGAGACTCCAACTCAAATAAAAAAGAAAGAAAATGGAAGCAAAGAAAATAATTAGGGTAGGCACAGCAGATGGAGTCAAGAATAAGGGGAAACATAGTATGTTTCACAAATTTAACTAGAAGTAGGTTTTTAAATCTGTCCCTGAAATATCAGGAACTCCATACAAAGAGGAAAATCTTGTCTGTGTGCCCCAATGAAAGGAAACTTTGTGATGTCAGGAACAAATCTTATAATTAACACAATAATCAGTTCACTGATAAAAATACAAGGAGGAGGTGTATAGTATGATTTAATGGTTAGATGTAATTTAAAGACTAGGAGAGCTTAATGGGCTTCGGGAGCAGGGGAGCATGTCTAGGAACCCCTGAAATTGTACCCAAAATATTGTGGTAATGTGCATTTTTCTGGAAAGGCATTATACTTGCTTTCATTCAATTCTCTAAACAGTTTATATTCTCCAAAAGGGTCAAGAATCACTAAAAAATGTTTGGCTTCTGTTTCTCAAATTTGCTCTCAGGCCTATCCCTGAAGGAACTGATTCAGGAGATGGGGATAGGAACCGGGGATTTTTATCTCCTCACATGATTCTTAAGTGAGAAAATCAGATTGGGGAATCACTGACCTCAATTAGTAGTAATATATCTGATAGTAGTAGATATTGGTATACCTATTAATATCAGCGCAAGACTGAAGAATTGGTGAATGAGCAAGTAAACTGCAAATCCTCATAGCAGTTCTCTCATTAAGTCTCTCAACCAGGGCATGGCAGTGCATTTCAGGTTCTACCACTGCCCTATGCCTCAGGCACAGCCTGGTTCTGCCACAGGTGAAGAGCAGAGCCTTATACTTTATGGATCAGCCAGACCGGGGGCAGAGGTGACAGCTGGGCCTACTGTACACACTTGCTCAAAATGAAGGTTCTCTTCCCCTTTCCCCTGATGGATTCTCACGTGGAAGCTGTGAAGCAGCAAACAGAAATGACAACTGATTTCTAAGCCCCGGGGATCAGTGAAAGTCCAGAGTCTGGGGACCAGGTGAAAAAAGAAATCATGGGCTCATTCACTCCATTTATGCCTCTAGTCTTTCCTGCCTCACCCGTACTTACCCTCTGTTAGTTAAGTATCGAGCAGCAGGACTGTTTCTCGCAATATTTCCAGCTGGAGAGATGTGGTCAGTTGTTACTGAATCTCCCAAATTTAACAGCACGTAGGCATCCACTATAGACTTAGGGGGCTGAAGATCCAAAGTCTAGCAAAGAACACAAAACGTCAGTGTTGGCCAAAGTTTTCTCAAACAAGTCACCAGGTGGTCCACCGACCTGAACTGATGACAGCTCTCCAGTCAATACACAGAAAACTCTAGTGTTCTGTTTTTTATCAGGGTTACTAAGAAAAGTAAGGTGTTTACTCAAAACATTCATATCTCAACCCTAAAGAAAAGGCGAAGTCTTGGCCCTGTCCCCTCAAAAGCAATAGAAATGCAGCTGCAAATGACATTCTTTCTTCATAACCCCAGAACTCCTCAGATACTGAGGACTACTAGAATCTTTTTTTTTTTGAGTTGAAGTCTCACTCCATCGCCCAGGCTGGAGTGCAGTGGCATGCTCATGGCCACCCCAGCATCTACCTGCTGGGCTCAGGCGATCCTTCCACCTCAGCCTTCCAAGCAGCTGCAACTACAAGTACGCGCTACTATGCCCGGCTAATTTTTTTGATTTATTGTAGAGATGAGGTCTTGCCAAGTTGCCCGGTCTGGTCTCAAACCCGCAGGCTCAGGCAATTCACTTGTCTCAGCCTCCCAAAGTACTGGGATCACAGGGTAAGCCACTGAGCCCAGCTGACAACTAGAATCTTGATGTCAACTGCCATTCTCTTTCCACAATGACCCATCCAAAGGAGCATGGATTTCTTGATCATCAGTTTCAGAGAAGATGATCCTCATTTTTTTTTGTTAGACAGGGTCTTGCTCTGTCACCCAGGCTGGGGTGCAGTGGGGTGATCAGACCTCACTATAGCCTTGATTTTCCTGAGCTTGAGCAATCCTTGCACCTCAGTTTTCTGAGTAGCTGGGACACACGCATGTGCCACCACACCAGGCTAATTTTTTAATTTATTTTTTTGGTACAGGTGGGATCTTGCTATGTTGCCCAGGTTGTTTCCTCATTTGTGATAGGCATAAAATTCAATATAGCAGGCCCTGGGGAAGTTCTCCTGGAATACTCTACAGATTCTACTGCATCTAAGTCAAGGTAGCACCTGATCACCAGAGTGCCTGTGCACAGCTGTGCAGAACCCTTGCACAGAGAAACTGTAGGACCATTACAGCCAAATATTCCAACCTCCCCAAACTCTCACCAGCATTATCTGCTTAGGTTTGCAAAGGCTTTAGTGAAATATGTAGTCAGAGCAAGGGTATAGGGCTACAGTAGAATTTATAAGGAAATACATTTTTTGAAAAACTTGCTTTATTAAAAAATAAAAAAGCATACCAAGTTTTCAAAGAATGGTGGTGACTTAATGTACGTGGATTTGGGATTCCAGAAATATAGCTTATCTGATGGGGCTGCCAAGGCATTCCAACTTTCATTCACAGTCTAAAAAAAAAAAGGCAGATCTAATCACATTCCAATCTTGGGAAAATTTCATACGCATATACAAAACATTCATTCAAGCTAAAAGGCACAATAAAAACTGTTTTTATTCTCAACAGTCACACAAAAGAGCTCCTTTACACTAAAATTATGTCATGTTAAATACCTTAAAAACACATCTGCACTGTTGTGGGCAGTCTCTAAGATGGCAGGAATGATGCTGCCTCCTGGGATTCACACCCTTGGGTGACCTTCAACCCTACCCTGTGAGTGTAGCTGAACTCAGTGACTATCTCCAAGACTAAGGTATAAGGAGATCTTCCCTCTGTCCTCGCCCTCTCTTGCTCTGATGGAAGCCAGCTACCAGGCTGTGAGCTGTGGAAAGACCCATGTAGTGAGGCACTGGGGGAAGCTCCTGACTAACAACCATGAGGAACTGAGGACTCCAGTCCAACAGCCCAAGAGGAACTTGACATGTCAATAGTCACATGAGTGAGCCTAAGGGGACCCCCCTCTAGAGACTGCAATCCCAGATGTCATTGTGGCTGAAGCCTTTGTGAAGGCAGAGGCATCCAGTGAAGCCGTACCTGGATCCTTGACCCACAGAAACTAGGGAAATAAATATTTGTTGTTTCTACTTACTAGATTTTGAGGTAATTTGCTGTATAGCAATAGATAACTTACATATATATATACATAACTTAGGAAATAATAATTCAGATTTTACAAAAGGGGAAATTACTCTCGGAATGTTTTGGGAAGCGCTTTCCAGATTACATAGACACTGGGGAGCAAATGATAGCTGCTATGCATTATAAAATTGGCTTGAATTCTGTCCACAGGTCCATTAACTCAGCCTTTGGAGAAACACATTTAACCCAATGCCTGCCAGGCTCCTTAAGACTATTTTCTAAAGAGTCGCTTGTGAAGGGTATAGTGCACCAATGTCACACCCACGTCACCCTCGCCTCAGAGAGTTCTGCTCTCATTTAAACCACCAGCCCCAGCCAGGAGCTCTTGGGTCATCTGAATGTAGAAGACAGGGAAAGGAATAACATCAAAGAGTCTCAAAAATAATACTGAGCCCCATACATTTTCTCCTATTTATAAAATGCACAGGAAGTTTTCTTTATTTCACCAGTTTGGTGCTCCCTACAGAGTGGCCTTAGTTTTTTTTAAGCATCCAGATAGTGCATTCTGGAGGTGCATTCAACCGACTGACTCCACTACAGTGATACAACCACCAGGGGTCCTCATCACAGTTGAAACACACCCAGGGCATCTAAGAAAAGGGTAGAGTTACGGAGCTGAATGGGAAGCCTTTCTTCCTGAGGCTGTCATGTACTTGTCTGACTCTGGGAACATATGGAGGATGCAGAGTTTGTAAAAATGTTAGTCACAGGAGAAAAGTGACTGAGAACCACAGCCTCAATTATCTGAAGAAACAAATATTACTTTTTATAGCGTATACTCCCATTAGCCTCAAGGTCTGCAAGACAGAACACACAGGGTTCCCTTAGATCTTTGGGGACAGGAAGTGCGGTGTGGGACCTCACCTCTATTTTCTGATAGACCTCCTTAAACATCCCAGGGATGACATACTGACGCTCCACCTCCTGAATCTCATCTCTAGTTGGCCAGATATCTTTCAGAAATACCTGTTGTCCTTTTGCATTTACTCCTGGGGGGAAAAAAAGGTTTATAAATGAGAAAAACCTTCTAATACCCCATTTTCACTATTACACATAGTCAAGGCTTGTTCTTCCCAGTAGTTATGTTCTAGAAAGCCTGTGGGAACACTGAATTAGTAAATACTGGATCATTGCCACTAGGGGAAACACAAGGTTAGAAGTTCCTGAAAGCCTCTGGTAAACACTTTTGTCAACTGATTAATATATAACCTAGCTTCATGTGTACTTCTGCTTAAAGACACCTCATTTATATGTATTGCTGACTCATTAACATTGAATTTATGGCCGACAGCACTATAATTTGCCTGACCAAAGCCTATCTAAACACAAATCACATCACAGTCTTCTTGTACTTAAGACCACCAGAAAGCACTTTAGGACTACACTCAGGGACCATTTTAACAGTGAAATCACCACAAAAAGCACACAAAGTGAAAAATATGGCACTAATAGATCAAGAAAACGATACGTGTTTATAGCATCAGAGCTGAAACAAGACAGCAGAGTACTGTTTGACTTCAATGTGGAACATGCATGTTGAGCAACTAAGAGTTTTTACCCTCTATGCAGTCTGTGAATGACTGCAAATATACCACAAGTATTGATTTGGGTGTTCAAAAAAATATATATACATACACATATAATGTACATATATGTATATATTTTATTTATTTTTAACTTATTTATTTGAGTTGGGGGTCGCACTCTGTTGCCCATGCTGGAGTGCAGTGGCACAATCATGGCTCACCACAGCTTTGACCTCCTGGGCTGAAGGGATCCACCCTCTTCAGCCCCTCAAGTAACTGGGACTATGGGTGTGTACCACCATGCCTGGCTAATTTTTTAAATCTTTATAGAGATTATGTCTCACTATGTTGCCCAGGCTGGTCTTGAACTCCTAGTCTCAACCAATCCTCTCTCCTTGGCCTCCAAAAGTGCTGGGATTACAGGTGTGAGCCAACACTGCACCCAGCCTTTAAAATATATTTTAGTGAGTAGGTAAATTTGCAAATACAGAATTTACAAGTAACAAAGATCAACTGCACCTCTAAGGTTAAGGTTTCCTAAAGGTAAATTTAAGAGGCATTGTTTTCATGTCTCTAATCTGCTTAGAATGGATTGAATAGGGTACAGCTAGCAAGAAGGCCAGAGGAAAGAGGTCAATGCATCATTTCTTCGGAATTTTGAGAACCTGAAATATCTGGAGCATGTTCTGATGGAGCATATATTAAAATGATGCCTAGTTTTAAATTAAGCAGGACCTGGAAAGGGAGGAACTAGAAGAAACCAGAACAGTAATATCTCTTACTTTTGGTATCGATTTCCCTTTTTCATCCCTCACCCTCAGTAGATTCTTGTTTAACTACTTCAGATGTGTTTTAGCTGTGTATTGAAGAATAAATAAAAGATTCTTCTCTTATCCCTGGAGGTTCTATGCTTCATTTATTAAGGAGAGCAGTAGCTTTTTTCTAGTAATATTTTTGAATTCACTGAAAAACAAAACGACGGACATAAGAATGAAATCTTACCCAATGGCTCTTTCTCAAAGTCGATTCTGATGGTCCCAGCAATTGCATATGCTATTACTAAGGGAGGAGAGGTTAAATAGTTGGCCCGGGTGTTGGGGTGGACTCGACCTTCGAAATTTCTGTTTCCGGACAGTACTCCAACAGCTATAAGGTCTCCCTGTGTAAGGCAAGAGAAAAGTCAGGTGACAAAGAGAAGAGATTGACTAGGCTTCTTGTCTAAGACCGTTTGCAATCATTTTCACATCACATGGATATGGTTCTTGAAGCTGCCCTTTCACCTGGCCCTCTCCTACTACATGGGGGAAGGGTACACAGGAGTGTGGGAGAGACGCTGGGTCAAAATAAGCAGAGACATGTTCAGCATTTCTGCCCATAAGAAAATACTGGTAGGTTAGGAGGCAACACCCTAGTTATTGCTGCCCGAGGCCCAAGAACAGGTAGGAAAGACTAAAAGTTGACAGCTAAGGAAACTACAATGGCTTATACAAGCTCTATAATTAAAGCAAAGCAAACAAAATAGTATTTTTTTCAAAACTATATAGTTTGGGGGAGAAAAATCAAGCCAATACAATTTAGTTTAAATTTGTTTGTGTGGAGACTTGCGTGACTTTAAACCAATTTTCAAATTACCTATAACAAACAATGCTGTAGCCCACTGTAGCAAAAAGTAGCATTGAGAAGTCTAGGAAGCTCTCCATCCATATTTTCTTTCTGAATAACATTGGAGGCATAAATGTAGTCAATGAAACCTATTTTTATATGTACCTATCTAGAAAATTTGTTCTTTTAAAGGAAAAAAATATGGGCTGAGAGTTAGAACTGGTTTTGTGACCTACTAGCTTTGTAATCTTGAGCAAGAGACCACAATTCTGTTTTCTTTACATCCAGATTAACTAACAAGCTTGTTGTGAAAATTAAATAGACAATGGTGAAAAGATAATGTCTGGCATATAACAATTTCTCAATAAAAGTTAGTAAATGTTAAAAAAAGAAAAGTAGCTTGTATTGAGCACTCACTTGTGTGCCAAGCACTGCACTAAGTGTTTTATGTTAATCATCATTTTAATTCTCACAACTGTATGAAGTAGATACTATTATCATCTCTAACTTAAAGTTATTGCATTGCAGCTACAACCAGGTTAATTAACTTGCCCAAGGTTACATGGTTCTTAATTTTAGCTCAACTCAAAGACCATGCTCTTCACCACATCCCCTGCTTCCATGAACCATCTTGAAAATACTAGTATTTTTGTCACATATTATATGAAAAGAAACAACAGTTCTGAATACCTACAGGCTGCTTTCTAATTACCTGTGTGATGGCTTCCACCACAGGTTCTGGTAAGGGCCCACTGTTGCCAATGCAGGTCATGCAGCCATAGCCCACCACATCAAACCTAGGGGCCAAGAGAGAAGCATAAAAAATGCAATAACTTGCAGTAAGTCCTTCTGCTGGCAACGGTTCCTGGAGATCACTGACCAAAAAGGCACTGCAGCGCATCAAATTAGGTTTAGCACAATGCTACTTCTATAAAGCTTTCATTCTTTTTTTTTTTTTGAGTTGGAGTCTCACTCTGTCGCCCAGACTGGAGTGCAG